CTATAAACCGTTAAGAATAAGAAATTATAATATTATGACTGTATATTAAAAGGATACAATTATTACCGTCTCCCCTGAGACAAACTTTGATTGCACAATCATTAATTGTTCTGGAGATGACATATTTATGGATAAAATATTATGCGTCTATCAAAATCAGCACTTGATGTAAAGTTCTTGAGTGGTAGACAAAGTCTGTTAGTAGAAAACATAAACTTTTATACTGTGCTTGTCAGTGGAACACTTGCCTATGTGGAATTACAAATAATACAGCTTTCTCTTTGTGCTATCAATAGTAAAAGAAATTAGTTTTAATACAATCGAATGATTTTCTTTTACTTGTTAAAATAAATTGAAATCTGTGCTTGCGCTTACCTTATCTTATTTCTATAAGTTATCTAAGATATAGCACTGCATTTTTCCTGCAAACTATCGCATCCTTATATAAATATTCTGGAATATATGCTGTTACAAACTAATTTACGTCCGATAGTTTAATCTTTCACTAAACGAATAGGAATGATAAAGTAGTGTAATTGACGTTAGACATAATTAAATTTGTCTTGTTCGTGTGGGTCAAAGAATGAAATAAGTGGTTGTATATGATGCATGCATGTACATGCAATTCCTTCGATTCTGCCTGTTACTTTTTTATTCACATCAATTCACATTAGTAAATAATTATTAGAATGATTGACGTGAAATAAGGTACATACGTGCACCGCGGATGGTGCAATATAAGAGGCAGACACGAATTCAAAAGAGACCATATAAAGAGACGCTTTGCCTACTAAGAATTTGTAATGTAATACATGTAATTATAAGAAATGCAGAATTATATTAAAAATTGGTAGTTTTATTATTTAGTACAATTTGTAATCATTATTAATAACAATAAAGGGAGCAATTGCCAATTGCAGTTGCATGGCGCTGTGAACCACTTGGCAATCGATCGAAAAGTAACGTTGGGGTTGACGCTCTTCACTCTTTAGCGACCTTCCCGCAAGTTGTTTGTGGCGTGAAGGAACAATTTCTTTCAACGAAGTTAAATCGTGTAATTCGAAAAATGGCATGGTTATGTAGTCGTGTTGCGTTCCAAACATGCCGGCGAACATTTTCCCGCAATGCTATCAGATTCTCTTCGAAAGACGGTAACGGAAATAAAATTTGTGTCAATCTGACTTACACATTTTAGTTTTTCAATGTTACGTAATATGATAATATTAATTTTGTTGATCTGGCCACAGTACTTCACAAACTGCATTAAGGAGGAAATCGATCTTCTCTTCTAACAGAAATACTTTTTTTACAGAATTTCCTGACCCACTGGATCACGCAACGGGGTTGGAGAAACGTGAGTTACTGGCTGCAGCAGCTGGCAACTTCGTGAGTTCCACAAATTTAACAATTTCTCGAGATGATGTCAAGTTCATAAGTTATGTCATTTAAGATCGATACGTATCAAACTAAAAACGAAATGAATTTCAGTCATTAAACTTATGAATTGACTCACAATCAGACGGTCTTTCATCGATGCTCTTGAAAGAGAATTTTAATATTTTCAAATAATTATCTTATACACAAGAATAAAGAATTGTTAATTACAATTGCTAGCTATTTATCTAGATAATTTTCTGATTTATCGATCATTTCATTTTAGGATCCATATCACATGAAAGCTATAGAAATTTCGCGTGACAGCACAAAGGATACGCCAAATTTAGTGCCAAGTGCATTCAAAAGCCGAATTGTGGGGTGCATTTGTGAACCAGATTCCGCACACGTGAACTGGATGTGGTTGCACGACGGTCAACCACGCCGATGTGAATGTGGCCACTGGTTTAAACTTACTCAAGTAGCTCCGCTTTAATTTAATGTCATTTCTTGTTAATTAGTCATTTGTTTAAAACATAGAATTAACGTTATATAATACTAAACATTGTTTTTATTCATTACCCTTTTATATCCCATATACAGATTTCACTTATCATTTTTTTCGATTCGAAATAAATTATCGGAATCATTACATTATACCACTTTCAATGCAATGTAATGTAATTATTTTTATTTATTATTTACTTCTTTCAACTTTATTTTAATGTGTGATGTGTTTTATAGTACGATCGTAGTAAACGAGATGCAAATTTTATAAGAATACAAATTGGCAAAATGAATTGGTATTATATGTATGTGAATAGGAAAAGTATGTAATAAATTAAACGATATCATAATAAATGAAAGTTTCTAGTCTCTCTAAAGAAATCACAATTTTTATTTAATATACACATAAGTCTTCTGTAGAAACATCAGTAACTTGAATACGGTCTATAATTCGGTATAGGAAATCGTCTACAAATTCAGAAGTCCTGTCATCAGAGTATTTTGCATTTTACATATTTTACTTAATTTGATGATCATTAAACTCTAAGTAATATTATGCAGAACATTGAAGCTACAATAGTTCCTACGTATTTTTTAATCGTAAGAATATGTTTGACACCTAAGAAGATAAGAGTCTGATAAGCAAACTCAGGTGCGTGATGTGTAATCTTAGCTTCAATGTTCTTCCGATCAATCTTACATCTTAGTGTATGATCTTGTCACGTTCGGTAGTGAATACATAAGTGGACATAATTTTATGGTTTTTCTATAATACTTAGATTTATTTTTGCGTGTGGTATGTTTCCTCTAGTGTTACACTTTCGATTGGAAAAAATAATCCATTAGAACAGTGTAACACTCTTGGGAAAAGCATGAGCATGATAAATGGTGTATTATGTTCTTTATATTACAATTGTGCTAAGTTCTGTCATTATATTTACATTTTCACCTACTGTTAAATAAATTTCAAAACCTCTAGAAAATATGTCTAAGCACAGTATACTCTTTGAAAATTTGTACTTCTTGCAACTAGATCAGTCCTTGGTCTACGAAACAGTAGTACATGTGGCTCTACAAAATCATTGAATTCCATAATTGGTCAATACATATTATGAAATATAATACGTTTGTTTCTATACCTGGTACGTGCATCATGTAATGTACCCAGCCTGGGCTTTGCTGTACTCCTAAGTTTCTCCATTCTGTTTCTGACATAAGATGCGTTTTTGGAACGTGTTTTGCTAAATCAGGTGGTAGAATCACATGCCTGAATACAAATATATTTTTGTCACATATGTTAAAATGTAACTTCTAAATCCTAATCAATATTTTAATTATCTCATTTGCTACTATTCCAATGTAAACTATCTATATTTATGTACAAACCTATATTCGTATTTATCGTCGTTATATTTTTCGGAATATTGTATTTGATCAACTGGCATTTTGAATAATTAAAATTTAAACAAATAGAAATAACTTTCCTTCATAAAATTTGTTTTCATAGCAATTGTATGGATATACAGCAAAAAATTTCACCTTCTCTTCGATGACGGTGTAGGTACGAAGCGGGTAAAAATTTATATGAATATCGTACACCTGTGTAGGTAGACTTTTCGAAAAACTAACGACAGGTAAACGCAATATTCAACATTCAACTAGTGTCCTCTTATAAGATCAAAAATCAGATTAAAAATGAAAAAGTTTACAAAAATCTCGATTGCTACAAGTGGTTTAAAAATGCATTTTATTAATAGTAGAAAAGCATCGTTAGAGTTGGCGAACCAGTAAGATTTTGATATTTTGTTAACCGCTACGAAATGCACGACTTGTGTCCACTATGTTTGAAAAAAGGCGCAAAGAAAAACATAAAATTGTTACAAATTAACTTGAAAGAGGCTGTATGGATGTGCGAAGAGGAAAAGGTAAATGTTCTGTTTTAATACATCTCTTTTCTATATGACTATAATATTTAGGTATTCGATCACATATAACCTTACGTACAATGAAAATAAAAACAACAGAAACTTTTAAACCTGACGTTTCGTGTTGTAAATTGATTATATTTAGCTACTAATTAATTGATTTGATGTTTCAGTGCTTATGGCCTTTTGGATATGAAGATTTAGAATTTTCCCACAGAGTAGTAGGAGAAATATGGTCCTGTTATTGGAAGGACTACAAACCAACATCGAGATTAAAGGAAAATATAGTCCCAATAAAACCATCAGTATGCGAAACATCTACATCCGAATCTAAAACTACATCAGAAGAATTGATTACTAATTGTACAAAACATATTATAAGTAATAGTACAAATATAACAAATTCAGCATGTGTTTCTAATAACTTATCTGCTTCTATTCCTGAGAAGCTATATATGACGGCATGTATTAAAACTGAGGAACTAAATGACGAGGATGATAATGTTTTAAATAACACAATTACTATTAACAATCCAGACTTAAATGATAGTAATGAAGAAGATATAAAAATTAAAACTGAAGTTACAGATCTGTGGAACGTAGGTACCGAAAGCAAAGATGATGTAGCCTTAATAAAAGTTAAAAATGAAAGAAGAACTCCGAAAATAACAAGTATAAAAAAGACCAATATTAATGTTTCTAATGTGAAGATAAAAAACGAAATTTCTATTCATCAAGATTCAAGTCAGACGTTATTAAAAGCTAAGAAGCCTGTGAATGTTGAAGGATCTGAATTAATAGAGTCTAGAAAACTGTCGTACTCTGAGCACATTAAAAGAAATGACATGGTATCAAAGTCTAATTTAAGTGTAACCAAGATGGAAATAGATGGTTTGCCACCTATAACATTGGCTTATGAAATGCCAGAGTTCACTACTATTCCTGAAACCATATCTAATCTGAAACTATGTCATAAAACTAACGATACAAAGCCAATTAGTTCAGAAACAAAAAGCACATTCGTAAAACGGGATTTAAATTCCGGTAAACACTATGAAAAGTTCAGTTTTAATGCTATTAAAAAGAAGATAGAATCGAGTAATGGCAATGGTAATACCAATAGCAATAATTCTTCGAGTATAAAGACAAATGTAAGAATTCGAGAAACAGAATATTATTTAACTAATGATACTGAAAAGAAAGATAATAGTAACAATTCTAATTTGAACATTGCGAGTAACGATAATAAACGAGCAACTGAAAATGTGGATACAAATGCGGATACCACGTGCACATCAAATCAGCTATCTAATTCTATGATTTGTTTGCCAAGTCAAGAAAATGTAGCACCTGTTACTGAAGTTGCAAACACTAGCGCAAATATAGATGCTTTTCTGGAAGACTTTTTAGCTAATGATCACAGTGCTTCTGAAGATATAAATGATGACTGGTTAACTTCTCTGTTAATCTAAGCTTGAAAAACATATTCATATATAATAACACATGTTTTCATATTATTTTAATTGACGATTATTAAAAACTCATATTACATTTTGCAAAATCATTGCTATAAAAATTCTAATATAACGTTATAGTAGCTTTACTATAAAATGTATTGTATATAAATTCTTCAAATTTCGTATTACACATTTGACATCAATTTACAATCGATATACATGATTATTATTATGTATTTTACACACATGGATTATACAGAAGCATCATTTTATTTCGCAGTACACTGTCTATTTAAATTAACGTGTATTATGAATATTATAATCATTCTTATGACTAATTGCAGAATTCCTTTTTGACATAATATGCGTTGTTTCTCTTAATTGATTTGCAGATCTCAGTACAAAAATAATTTGACTTGTATACAATTGTAGAGCGAAGTATCTACAAGTATCTAATTAATTGTTTCTCGAGAATTATTAATAAAAGAAATAAATAGAATAAATTTTGACATTAATCTACGTTAAAACAACTGCACAAAATTCCTGACCATATCAAAACTACATGGATACACAGATTGATAGTAGTGCTGTAATCGGGGATGATTTGGATCTGGATCTTGATCCGTATCCGAACTACATTCACTATCGCTAGAATCTTCGTAAGAGCCAAGCCCAGGCAAAATTCCAATACATTTCATGCTCCCTGAATCACTATATTTGCTTTGCAAAGAATCATCTGGGTATCCAGATTCACATTCTAAGTTTTTAATGTCCGTATGTTCACTTTTTTCACTATCTTCTTTTATTGATGCATTGATGTTTTCATCAGATAATTTTCTTTTAATACCTCTTGTAACTTCTGCACAAATGTAACGTTTTAATGATATTAGAATTAGGAAAGTATATGTTTTTAGTTTTTAATAGGTAATTACTGACCATTCAAATTAAATTAATATATTGGAAAACTTGATTTACCTTGCTTTTGTTTTTCTGGACGCTTAACTACAACACCAGCTAGTAATTTTAATTGTGAAGTGCGGCTACTGAAAAATAAAATTGAGTTCTCAATCACTAACTGTACTGTATTATAACATTGCTAAAAAATTGATTTCAATATTAATTGTTCTATATAAGTAAGATAAATTGAATTTTACCTTCCACAGGAAACATTTTTATTTACAATTTGTGGATTCTTCAATTCTTGTTTTAATTTCTCATTCAAAGATCTTTCCTGTAATGATGCAACAGCTGCTTTGAAATCACGCATCTCTTTTTCTTCTTCAAGATTCTTTTTACGTTCTTCTTCTAATTTAGTTCTGTCCACTAAATCCAAGAATTCTACTTCATCGTCATCTAAACCTTTTATCATATTTTCTGAAATAAATTTTACAAATCAAGTACATACACGTATAAATAAGTCATGAGATTTCTATGGACAAGCTGTCTTTCAACGTTCACTTACTCAACTTGTGTGCTTCTTCATATTCTGCATCTCTTTTGTTTTTCTGTTCTTGTAATCGCTCGTACAGAGATCTTGGATCATAAGATTCTTCTGGAGCCTCTGTAGAAATTAAAAACGTATATAAAATAGTTATATTTAAAAAATATATTTTGAATGATCTATTAGTACACCAAGTAACGAAAGTTAAGTAGAAACAGTGACCTAATGGTTGTTCTGCAGATCGTACACGCTCCCATTCTTCTTGTCGTATTCTTCGTTGCTCTGCAATCTCAGCTTCCGATATAAACCCAGAACTCATTGTGAACTGAAATACAAAATTAAAGTACATATAAAGTAAATATTTTTAATCTCTCACATTTTCATGGGAACACTTACGTTGTAACTTATCACCTTTACCTATACTACAATTTTAGAGATTTAATAGCACAAAGAATTAAATCCTTACAAATGTTTGACACTCATAAACAGCTACTTACTGCCAAGGTAATGTAAAATCTTTGAATTCATTAAAGTTCCTTTTCTCTTTAAGAGTTTAATATTTAGTACTTAAAATGACGAATTCTAAACATTGAATCAAATAATCTATAATAATATTATACAGTTACAGTAAGTGGCAAAACAAAATGGTAATTTATCTAACAGTAAGAGTAAAATGACGTTTCGTATTACACAGTTTACAAGTACTCTGCGTTCAGCTTTTGTCTTTCAAGTTTTCTTTATCTAAGACCTTCTCTTGTAAATGTACTATTTTCCGACCTAGAAGGTCGTATCGGGGATGATTTGGATCTGGATCTTGATCCGTATCCGAACTACATTCACTATCGCTAGAATCTTCGTAAGAGCCAAGCCCAGGCAAAATTCCAATACATTTCATGCTCCCTGAATCACTATATTTGCTTTGCAAAGAATCATCTGGGTATCCAGATTCACATTCTAAGTTTTTAATGTCCGTATGTTCACTTTTTTCACTATCTTCTTTTATTGATGCATTGATGTTTTCATCAGATAATTTTCTTTTAATACCTCTTGTAACTTCTGCACAAATGTAACGTTTTAATGATATTAGAATTAGGAAAGTATATGTTTTTAGTTTTTAATAGGTAATTACTGACCATTCAAATTAAATTAATATATTGGAAAACTTGATTTACCTTGCTTTTGTTTTTCTGGACGCTTAACTACAACACCAGCTAGTAATTTTAATTGTGAAGTGCGGCTACTGAAAAATAAAATTGAGTTCTCAATCACTAACTGTACTGTATTATAACATTGCTAAAAAATTGATTTCAATATTAATTGTTCTATATAAGTAAGATAAATTGAATTTTACCTTCCACAGGAAACATTTTTATTTACAATTTGTGGATTCTTCAATTCTTGTTTTAATTTCTCATTCAAAGATCTTTCCTGTAATGATGCAACAGCTGCTTTGAAATCACGCATCTCTTTTTCTTCTTCAAGATTCTTTTTACGTTCTTCTTCTAATTTAGTTCTGTCCACTAAATCCAAGAATTCTACTTCATCGTCATCTAAACCTTTTATCATATTTTCTGAAATAAATTTTACAAATCAAGTACATACACGTATAAATAAGTCATGAGATTTCTATGGACAAGCTGTCTTTCAACGTTCACTTACTCAACTTGTGTGCTTCTTCATATTCTGCATCTCTTTTGTTTTTCTGTTCTTGTAATCGCTCGTACAGAGATCTTGGATCATAAGATTCTTCTGGAGCCTCTGTAGAAATTAAAAACGTATATAAAATAGTTATATTTAAAAAATATATTTTGAATGATCTATTAGTACACCAAGTAACGAAAGTTAAGTAGAAACAGTGACCTAATGGTTGTTCTGCAGATCGTACACGCTCCCATTCTTCTTGTCGTATTCTTCGTTGCTCTGCAATCTCAGCTTCCGATATAAACCCAGAACTCATTGTGAACTGAAATACAAAATTAAAGTACATATAAAGTAAATATTTTTAATCTCTCACATTTTCATGGGAACACTTACGTTGTAACTTATCACCTTTACCTATACTACAATTTTAGAGATTTAATAGCACAAAGAATTAAATCCTTACAAATGTTTGACACTCATAAACAGCTACTTACTGCCAAGGTAATGTAAAATCTTTGAATTCATTAAAGTTCCTTTTCTCTTTAAGAGTTTAATATTTAGTACTTAAAATGACGAATTCTAAACATTGAATCAAATAATCATTATCCACGATGTGTAACAGAAGTTAATAATTTTTAGATAAGACAAAAATTAATATTATTCCCGATAGAATGGCCAAGGATAATATATTACATACATATTTGGTACTTTTCAAAGGTATGGGAGGGTTACGTTCTAGATATCAATTTCATTAACATTACAATTACAGAGATCTCCGTTCCGACTATTTCATTACGAATTGATTACTTGCTGTACGATATAATCTAGATGCAACAATTCTTTGCCGTATCCTCTTAAATTTACACGACGAAAACTTCGAACTTGAGTTTGAGACACCTTGCAAATTAACTGTTCGTCGTAATCACACACAGTCACAGTCATATTTCACACGCATGCGTACGTAAAATTTTTACTACTCGAACTATAATTGTTACGTTTGTGCAATATATGAATGTTTAAAAGTGACTTAAATTCGAAACATTAATTACTATAAGCACAGTGTTACTTTGCGTTGTTAATTTGTACTACGTAAAAAATTATTAGCAAAATATTTAATTTTTCTGCTTATCGCACGGAAGAATATTATGTTAATTAAGGTGTTCTACTATTGAAGATAAATTTCGACAGTTAATTATAGTGATAAAGAAATAAATGAGGGTTTAGATATTATTTCAAATATTTTTATTCCTTAAACAAATAAATTTAATTCCATGTTTCTGGGAATTCGAACGTCACGTCCCGTCCAGTTAGTTTTTTATACACGGCTGCAAAAGTGTCAACCTAAATAACAGAAAATTGCATTAGATAGACAACATGAATTATATTAAAATTTGTTACTCATTACAACCAAATATTAAGGAATTATGAATTATTTACCTTGTGCTCAATATTTGTTTGTTCATTCTTGTCTAAATGAACTTTAATTAGTTGTGTACCATCCAGTTTAATCCTGATACGCTTCCCAACAATTTCTACAGGATACACTAGATCCTCTAGCAACGCATCATACACAGCAGTCAATGTACGACTAAAAATTAATTTTTTTTATAACTCTCATTCCTTTAAGTGAATATAGAGATAGATTTTATAAATATTTTTTATGATAATGCATTTTACCTTCTTGGCCTCTTCTGCTTATTTTTCGTACGCGTCTTTCTGGTCGGTTTAGGTAGAATTTTACGTTCTCCGACAAACATAACATGCTTCCCAGAGAATTTCTTTTCTAGCTCACGTACGAGTCTAGTTTGTATCTTTTGAAATGCCTTCAACTTAGGCATAGGCACGTATATAATGATACACTAAAACAAATATCGTACTTTATTGTTTGAATGTGTTTAAATCACTTAGTTTCGATTAGGAAATCTTTACTTTACCTTCTTGTTATTGGTCTCAATTTCGCGAGCTTTTGTAATATAAAGCTCTCTTAATTGTGATTTTAAATCACTGTTCATCTCGAGCTCTAGGAGAGCTTGAGAAATGTTAGCTTCGAAGCCATCAGGCTCAGCCCCGCCACTTTTTATTATCTTAGCGTTTGCTAACATCTGAAAAAACATGCTCAGGTTAAGCTTCTTGTTTACGAAACATTGCACAAATTTCATATGAAGTTTCTACTTGATAGCTATTTTAATTAAAGTACGTATTTCATTTCTTATGTACAACATGTGTAAAGGATATACTTTAAAATTTAAATGCTATGAATAACTATCTGCTGTCAAATATCAAAGATACACTGCATCGCATAATATCCAAATTTATCAAGCACTCTGTGCACGATCCAGGAAAAAATCTGAACTTATGTAACAGATTGCAATATTGTGAATAATATGCAAGGGATCATTTAATGCTTTCGGATTTATTTAAACGAGTTTTTAGCTAAAAATTAGAGTATTACTCGCGTGTACCTTAACGATCCGCACCGCGTGAAAAGGAGGACGAGAAAAGGTTCTGAAAAGCTCTTGGATCGAAGTACCAACCGTTTTACTTAGCAAAATATCTCTACTTTCTAACTCCCTCAGTGATTTTCATTTAGTAATTTCATGCATCAACTGTTTGAAATTCAGATACCTTCAGTTCAATGATTAGAGCGTAACATGTCACATGGTATTTTGTGTTTGTATTATAA